GACCACGACGAAGATGCCACCCTGCCCCTTAAGTAGAGCAGGGCGAAGTCCACAAGTAACACCACCCCCACGACGACTGCGAAAAGAGGCTGCTAGGCCGATGCTTGAGGCAGTGACTCTATTCACCATGTTTCCGGCATCCGATGCTGCAACGAACGTGACATAATGACATATGAGGTTACCTCAAACTACTCTTACGGTAGCGGGCTATGCTTGGTTTGTCGTCCACGAGGACGGCGTGGCCAGATGAGCGCTACCACTTGCATGGATCGGGTGAAAAACTTCGGCCACGTGCGCGCGGAGACGCGCCTTAGCGGGCGCCCGATGGAGGTTGGCCGTTTTCGACATGCGCGCGCGAGTGCCCCCCCCGGGCTTCACGTCAGAAGCGCTACGCACTTCAGGTTTTCTGATGACGTGACCGAGTGCGCTCGCAGAATCCAGGCAGCTAGCTATGTTCTGCACGTGCCAGCAAGCCATCTGTGCTCGGGTGGTTTGGACACTCGCGCGCGGTGGCGCGCGCATGTGCCCCCGTACCGCCCCCAGTACGGCATAACGTATGATATCAGCACGTACACGATTGTCATGTCTTAGATCAATGCTTCTCCTAGGATGTGGAGTAAGCTATGTGGCCCACTGGGCAACACCTCGCCGTTACTCATGAACAGACGTCGGAGCCCATCGTCAGAATCAGCATCATCATCTTCAGCAGCATCATCAGTATCATCCGCATCTTCATCACCATCATCATCAGCAGCATCATCATCGTCATCATCGTCAGCATCATCATCGGCAGCAGCAACACCATTACCATCACCATCACCATCACCATCACCATCACCACAATCGTCGTCATTGTCACCGCCACCGTCATCATCATCGTCGATGTCGTCACCCTCGTCAAACGTGTGCACGGGGGCACTTCCTCATCATCTTCATCATCACCACCACCCCCATTGTCATTACAATCAGCTTTATCACCATCATCATCGTCGCCGCGAACATCGTATCGTCGCCATCACCACTGCCAACACCGTCGGCATCAGCGTCATCACCGCTGTCGTCGCCAGCCGAGGTTGGTGCAGGCGTAGGTGCAGGCATAGGTGCAGGCGTAGTAGATCCCGCATTCGAACCTCCCGTAGAAGACGCCATGTCATCACATATCGAAGTGCGGATGGCGCTCCAGCACTTCCTGCTGGTTTGGTTCCATTCGCAGCATGTGGAGCGCTCGCACTCTTCGGCAGACAGGGATCCGTTCACGCAGTACTCCTCTCCGTTGGCCTCGATGGGGGGATGCTGCTCATGCCTCCTCGTTCTTCTCTTCCTCATCCTTCGCATCTTCCTGCGCCCAGACACAAGTGTTCGTTATGCCCCCTCCTCCTGCCCGCATTCTTTCTCGAGCACACACCGCCAGCCTGAACTCTCCACGTCCGAGATGTTACAAGAACCCGACGGTCTGCCAGCGGCCCAACAAACCCCGAATCGTGCCGCAGCCAAGTCTCGGCCCTCCCCCTCCGCCTCCTCCCCGGCGCCTGGCCATTAGGCTTCGACCAGCGCCATGCGCTCCACACCGACAAGCACGCGCAACCCCAACCGCCCGACGCGCGGCGGCCCCGTTCGCGTCCGCGCCATCTCCTGGGCGGACCTGGGACACCGGCCAGGACTGAGCTCCTGCACCGCATGTTGCGACATCCTCTGATCCCACTGCTTCCTCCCCACCCCCCACACGGCAGATTTCCTCGGTCTCTGGTATTCGTGAGCTTCTCCCCAAATCGACATCTCGGTACCGCTTCTTGAACTCCCTCACTGCAGCCCGGCTGCTCACCGCACCCCCTGTGCAAAGAAGACGACTCAATCCACTGGAGATGTTTGGCAACATCCAGGGGAGATCGTGTGAATAATCCGCTGTAAGCACGAGGGCGCTTCGCGCGCAGGCCAAGCCAGCATCACATCAGAGACTATGTAGGGGCATCATCCCTCCATGAGCGCCGCAGGATGTCACTTGCGCAAAAAAACTGCCAAACGTAAGCTGATGTGCAAAGTTAAGATACATCTCTGCAGCACCGTGAACGTGAAATGCCATAAACTGGTGCGAGACAGCTCGACATAGAGGAAGCCATCGTTTGACCTATGTTTCCTTTTACGCCGTATGCGCCAGCCGGTCCTTGCGGACGAAACGCGCAAGGCCGTCAGGCAGGCCAGTCATCCGGCAAGGCCACAGGCCGACGGAAAGCATGCAGTGCGACACTACCTGCATGATGCACTCAGAGCCCGCATCGGTGGTAGGCTTTGGTGACCCTGTGCCGGCAGGCACGCACGACGCACGCAGGTGCGGACCGTCGCTGTTTCACAAGGGTCTATGGCCTCGGGGACGCGACTATGGTGTAATTTACGAGGGATTATGGCCTCGGGGGCGCGAATTTGCTATATTTAATCGCTTCGCTTATTCTGCCGGCCCTGGAGCGCTATTTGGGGCCTCTTGGGGCCGTCTTGGGGGCTTCTTGGGGGCTTCTTGGGAGCGTCTTGGGGCTCCTTGGCGGCGTATTGGGCTCCCCTGGGGCCTCTTGGGGGGCTCTTGGGGGCCCCTCAGGGCGGGAGGGGGAGTAGTCGTTGGCAGCCCCCCCCTCGGAGGCCACGATCCTCGTGAGGGGTGGCGAAAAATAGCCTCCCCCCTGGGGATCGCCCGGGGGTCAGCCGGGGATCGGCCGGGGTATTTTTTGTCCGGGGCCCCCCAGGGGCCGCCCCCCGCGCGCGCGAATTAGAAATATTGTTATGTAGTTACTGGAGATCTTAGCACGCCTCTGGCCCGTTGGGCCGGCGAATTTTTATGTGTCCCACGCCCCCCCCAGGAACTCAGAGCACCCGATTCGGGCGTGGTAACTAAGTTCCTTCTCGGCTCCCCCCCTCGCGCGGTCCATCAACAAGGAACAGTAAGCAGCAAGAAGCAGAACTGTAGCGGTGGAAACTGAACATTGGAACTGGTGCAGGGATTATCAAACCTTCGCCCTACAGCCTGGTGGCCCCACGAGGGGGCCGGCGGATAAGAAAACATATTGTCATACGAAAGCGTATCGTTATACAATTGTTATTCGGAAAGTATTCAAGATATGGTTATAATAACTATTTTTGAATACCCCTCCTGTAGAGGGACACGCCCGACCTAACACTATGCCTTCCTTGGCCACCAGCAAAAACCGATCTCCAGTCCTGGGCCCCTCAAGCGCCACGAGAAGGCAAAGGGCTCGACTGTAGGAAGCCAGAAGATTGCTGCGGAGACACCGCGAGCCGATGCTTGAGACGAGGAGGAGGATGAGGGAAGGCGGGACAGGAGGAGGTGGAGGATGAGGAGGGTGAGGGCCCAGAGGAGAAGCAGGTTGATAAAGCAGGCGGCGGAGGAGGTGGGGGAGGAGGAGGAGGAGGAGGGAGGAGGAGGAGGAGGATGAGGAGGGAATAGGCAAGGAGGGGGAGGACGGCGAAGGGAGTGAAGAGGAGGAAGGAGGGATAACGTGGAAGATGAGGAGGATGAGGCGGAGGGATGCGGATGGACGTGGAGATGGTGACGGATGATGGTGATGGTGCTGGTGAGGATGAACATGCTGATGCTGATGCGGCCGACTAGGATGATCATGATGAGCATGATGATGGTGATGGTGGCGGTGGTGATGATGACGACGATGCAGCTGGTGATGATGCTGACGATGATAGTGATGACGATCATGATTCTGATGATTGTGATTGTGGTGATAATGATGATAATGATGGTGGTGATGATGCTTATGACGATGCTGATGATGATGATGCAGATGAAGATGATCATGCTGCTGATGATGGTGATGATGACAATGATGATGATGCTGATTATGATGCTGATGCTGCTGCTGCTGATTATGATGCTGATGATGCTGCTGCTGATGATACTGCTGATGATAATGATGCAGATGATGATGACGATGATGATAATGATGATGATGATGATGATGATGATGATGGTGATTATGATGATGCTGCTGATGATGATGAGAAGGAGGAGGAGGAGGAGGAGGAGCAGGATGATGATGATGATGATGATGATGATGATGGTGGTGGTGGTGGTGGTGGTGATGACGATGCTGATGCTGATGCTGCTCATGATAATGATGATGATGATTTAGATTATGACGATGCTGATGCTGATGCTGCAGCTGATGATGCTGCTGCTGCTGATGATGCTGCTGCTGCTGCTGCTGATGATGATGATGATGATGATGATGATGATGATGATGATGACGACGCTCCTCCCTCCCCCTCCCCCCTCCTCTCCTACTCGACTGGCGTCCGGAAGCCCTGCCTCTATTGGGACGGCCTAGCGGCCGGTGCCGCCGACCCTGAATGGGGACGGCAACGACAGCGGCAGCGGCGGCAGCGGCGGCGCCGACGACGACGACGCTGACGCTCTGGAGCCTTCCTTGGGGCTTTCTTGGGAGCCTCTGGGGCTCTGTTGGGGCTTGGGCCAGGGCCGCGGCTGGGGCCTAGGGCCACTCGACTAGCGTCTGGAAGCCCTGCCTCAATCCCGACCTTCCACTCGAAGAGGGATTCGTTTCGAGGGCTCGATCCGCCGATTCTGCACAGACCGTGTGGGTTGGACGAGTGGCAATCTCTGGCTGGCAACGAGGCGACACGGCAGAGTGCTGCTCCCGAAGTTGTCCGCTGGGCGGTGAAGGCGCACTTCGACCCCCGAGAGCACCGCACGCAGTCCTGCCTTCCCCTCGCGGGCCACCCTGACAGGACTTTGGCCTTGACCTTGACCTGCCTCAAGCCCCCCCCCGCGCCGCCGCCGCTGCTGCGGATGCCCGCCGCCCGGTGCGCGGGGCCGGTGTCCCGAGGACGGGGCCCGTCGCGGGCGGGGGCGACGTCTGCTCCCCACCTCCCCCCTTCGGGGAGGAGGAGGAGGAGGAGGACGAGGAGGAGGAGGAGGAGGAGGAGGAGGAGGAGGGGCCTGCCCCGCAGCGAAGCCTTTCCGCGAG